CCCCCCCCCCCCCCCCCGCACAGCAAGCGCTTCTCTGCGTCCGAGGCCAGTTTCCTGGAGGGGGAGGCCAGCCCCCCATTGGGCGCACGCCGCCGTTTCTCGGCGCTGCTGGAGCCCAGTCGTTTCAGCGCCCCCCAAGAGGACGAGGATGAGGCCCGGCTGCGCAGACCTCCCCGGCCCAGCTCCGACCCCCCAGGCTCGCTGGATTCGCGGGCCACCAAAGAGGCAGCTCAAGGGGAAGGCACCCTCAGCGCCGGGGACCTCGAGGCCAGTGAGTGCCCTTTCCTGCCGCCTACCCCAATTCCCCAGAGGCCATATATTGAGCATTCAATGAGCCCGATATTGTTTATGGAAGATCTCATACTATTTATTCACTCGCCAACCTGGAATTCTTATTAACGCTAGGAACCCTCCATATGCCATGCTCAGTCAGTGATACAGACTGATACAGAGAACTTCTGTGTATCAGGAGCTGTGCTGGCTGCATATGTTACCTGCTCTGATGAGACTCACAATCTGGCAGGGGAGAGAAGTGAGAATAGCATTCCAGGCAGAGGGAACAGCATGTGAGAAGTTCCTGGGCTTGAACTGAGCCCTCACCCACCTGCTCTCTCTTGCAGTTGAGCGCCCACTCCCAGGTGACCTCTGTCCACCCTCAAAAGATGGGGACCCATCAAGCCCTAGGGCCACCAATGACCTGGTTCTGCGCCGGGCACGGCACCAGCAGCTGTCAGGGGACCCTGCAGTAGAGAAGCGGCCTTCCCGAACTGGGGGCAAAGTCATCAAGTCAGCCTCGGCCACTGCCTTGTCTGTCATGATTCCTGCAGGTGAGGCCAGGCCCCACCTGGTAGAGCAAGGGCTGCCCCCATTTGAGCCAGGCCAGGTCAATGAAAATGCTGTATTTTCCCTGTCCACAGTGATTGGCTCCAGGATGAACCAATGAGAGTCTGCTCTGGGACTTTGACTTGGGAGGAGGGAGGAGCAGACACAGGGAGAGCTGTATCTTATTGGTACTGACCTCTAACCATGGTTCTGTGTCTGCAGTGGATCCACATGGAAGCTCGCCCCTTGCTAGCCCCATGTCCCCACGCTCTCTCTCCTCCAACCCATCCTCCCGAGACTCGTCACCCAGCCGGGACTACTCACCGGCTGTCAGTGGGCTCCGCTCTCCCATCACTATCCAACGCTCAGGCAAGAAGTATGGCTTCACCCTACGTGCCATCCGCGTCTACATGGGTGACTCAGATGTCTACAGTGTCCACCACATTGTCTGGGTGAGCACTCATGGGTGGGATCTGTGTGGGGGGGTGGCGCTGGGGGGAGAAAAGGCCCCTCAGGGATAAGGCACAGCTCAAACTCTGGAGCCAGGCAGCTCGGGGGAGACTCCTCTGTGACCCCCTCTGTTGCTTCCCTCTCAAAGTCTCAGTTTATTCATCTGCAAAATGAGGAGAATAATTTTTCTTTCATAAAGTGTTACAAGGATTATAGGACATGTAGTACCACATGTCTGGCATATAAGCTCGGGGACTTTCCTTGTTACCAATCCTGTTAACTCTGCCCCTGTGGGGTGACCCGTCCTCAGCACGTGGAGGAAGGGGGCCCAGCCCAAGAGGCGGGGCTCTGTGCCGGGGACCTCATCACCCACGTGAACGGGGAACCTGTGCATGGCATGGTGCATCCTGAGGTCGTGGAGCTGATCCTTAAGGTGAGTGCAGGGGAGGGGGTGCACTGAGTGAAGAGGGGGGCCTGAGCAGCCTTCAGCAGAGCATCACCCCCCCCCGTTCTTCCTCCAGAGTGGCAACAAGGTGGCAGTGACCACAACACCCTTCGAAAATACCTCCATTCGCATTGGCCCCGCAAGGCGCAGCAGCTACAAGGCCAAAATGGCTCGGAGGAACAAGCGGCCCTCTGCCAAAGAGGGTCAGGAGAGGTGAGCTGGACTATAAGCAGACCAGTGTTTGAACAGTGGGCGGGGCTAAGGTGGGAGGGGCACAGGTGAGGACAGAAGAGGGGAGGCGCACGGTGCACAGGAATGATGTCTGGAGCCACTGAGTGAGGATCAGACAGGAGGACAAACAAGATAAGATGGGCTGGGAAAGTGGGAGTGTCTTGGGCAGGTGAGCAGGGCTCACTGAGGTGGGCAGGGGAGGGTGCTATCCAGAGAAGGGGAGACAGGGAAGGGTCCAGATGGTCCCTCCCTATTTGATGTGTTTAGACTGGACTGGGAGGGGCTAGGAAGAGATATCTACCCGGAATGAGCATGCCAGGCAAGACTGAGCCAACTGAAATAATTTCTTTCCCAGTAGATGGAAGTAGCTGGGAGAGGTGGGTGGGGCCAGAAGTGTTGATTTGATCAGTGGGTTTGGCCTGAACGAGGAGTGAGTATGTGAGTGAATGAGAGGAGCCAGACAGGGCTGAGCTAAGTGAATTTCTTCCTGCTCTGATAGGTGGGTGGTGGCGGGAGAGGGAGGGGCTAATGAGGTGGGCGGGGCCTTAGGTGGGAGGGGCCAAGCAGGACTGAGCTGGAGGACTTTCTGTTCTGCTATGGGAGTTGTAGCTGGAGAGGGAGGGGCCAGAATGGGTGGGCGGCTAGTGGGAGGAGCCTGGAACTCCGAAGTCTGGTCGAAGATTGGTGGCCCCTTTCCTGTCCCCCAGTAAGAAGCGCAGCTCCCTCTTCCGGAAGATCACGAAGCAATCGAACCTGCTGCACACTAGCCGCTCACTGTCGTCGCTGAACCGCTCGCTGTCGTCCAGCGACAGTCTCCCGGGCTCGCCCACGCACGGGCTGCCGGCGCGCTCACCCACGCATAGCTACCGCTCCACGCCCGACTCCGCCTACCTAGGTAAGCTTTGAGGGGGGGACCGAGCGGTGGGGTGGCCTGGCTGGTGCCCGCGAGGTACTCACTGCCCACTACCCCTCCTCTCGCCGGCAGGAGCTTCGTCGCAGAGCAGCTCACCAGCCTCCAGCACGCCCAACTCGCCGGCATCGTCGGCGTCACACCACATCCGGCCCAGCACGCTGCACGGCCTGTCGCCAAAGCTCCATCGCCAGTACCGCTCTGCGCGCTGCAAGTCAGCCGGCAACATCCCGCTGTCGCCGCTGGCACACACGCCGTCCCCAACGCAGGCGTCGCCGCCGCCGCTGCCTGGCCACACGGTAGGCAGCTCGCACACGACGCAGAGCTTCCCGGCCAAACTGCACTCGTCACCGCCCGTCGTGCGCCCGCGCCCCAAGAGTGCCGAACCCCCGCGCTCGCCGCTGCTCAAGCGCGTGCAGTCAGCGGAGAAGCTGGGAGCCTCGCTGGGCGCCGACAAGAAGGGCGCGCTGCGCAAACACAGCCTTGAGGTGGGCCACCCAGATTTCCGCAAGGACTTCCACGGCGAGCTGGCGCTGCATAGCCTGGCCGAGTCCGACGGCGAGACGCCCCCAGTCGAAGGCCCGGGTATGCCCCGGCAGGTCGCGGTCCGCCGCCTGGGCCGCCAGGAGTCGCCCTTGAGCCTGGGCGCAGACCCGTTGTTGCCCGAGGGCGCCCCCAGGCCGCCAGCGTCGAGCAAGGAGAAGGAGTCCCCCGGAGGCACCGAGGCCTGCACCCCGCCCCGAGTGACAACCCCGGGGGGCCGGACCCTGGAGCGGGACGCCAGCTGCACGCGGCACCAGAGCGTGCAGACGGAGGAAGGCGTGGGCGGAGTGGCCAGGGCTGTGGCCAAGGCGGCGCTGAGCCCCGTGCAGGAACACGAAACAGGCCGGCGCAGCAGCTCCGGCGAGGCGGGCCCACCCCAGGTGCCCATTGTCGTAGAGCCCGTGCGGCCAGGGACCAAGGCCGAGGCGTCCCAACCTCCAGGCACGGATTCCAAGGGGTTGCAGGAACCTGTGCCCCTGGGGCCTCCAGTGCCCGAGACCCCCCCGGGCCGAGAGCGCTGGGTGCTGGAGGTGGTGGAGGAGCGGACCACGGTGAGCGGTCCTCGCTCCAAGACCCCCTCCCCCAAGGTCTCCCCTGATCCCCAGGCCCCCTCCCTAGCCCCAACGAAGAATGTGCTCAGCAGCGCAGGGCCCCCAGCCCCACCCGCTTCCCTCCTGGTCCCGAGCACCAAGCCTGAAGTGGGGCTGACCTCCCGATGCCCTGCTGAAGCTGTGACCCCAGCAGGCCTGATCAAAAAAGGAGCATCCAGCCCCGCACCCCCAGGCCCATAGCCAAGAAGGCCATTGGGCTTGCACTGTACAGCCACCTGTATACATATGTACACATATAAATAAAGTGCGTCCATGCTGCGTGAGCTTTCCGGGGCTCACCCTTCCCCCCCTGGCATTCTGAGATGTCACGTGTCCACGCCCCATGCCCCTGGGCTTGTTGAAGGAGCAGAACTCCAGTCCTGGTTACCATGGAGAGAGGAGGTGAGCTTTGGGTGAACCTTTCCCGTGGTCTCACTTCTGGTCTCACCTATGAACCAGCTGCCCCAGACCCTCAGGGAGAGAAGATTGCTGCAGCGCTGTTCTGTGTCCTAGTGCCCACCTGAAGAAAAGGTTAACAGCCTCATCCACCAATTTCCTTTATTCCTCAACAATCTTGAGTGGCACGTGTTATGATTCCCATTTTGCAGATTAGCTGACTGAGTAACAATAAGGTTAAGGCACATAATTAAGGTTACACAATTAGGAAAGGGTTGAACTGGGATTCAAGTTCAAGTCCCAGCTGGTTTCTGAGCCTTAGCTCTTATATGCTCTGCTGGGCCTCCTGGCCCTGCTCTCCTCCCTACAGGGCTCCCAGGCCTTCACCAGGGGTTGGAAGGCCTTCCAGAGGGCCGGCAGCTGGGTACACAATGTGCCCCCACCCCGGTGCTCCTCTCCGAGGTTCCGATTCATGTCACCCACGCAGGTCCATGGCCCTTCCAGGGCCACACACCATTTAGAGTGGTCCTCTGTAGCATTGAAGGTTGGCCCAGCTGGCCCAGGGAAGGCTGTCTGGGTCACATCCAGAACGTGCCAGGTCCCTGAGCAGTTGGAGGGCAGAATTCCTGGAGAGTTCTGCCAGAACTGGACCTGCAGGTTGCTGCCAAGAGCTGTCGCCAACCAGCCAGAATACAAGTCTGCAGAACATGGAAAGATGGCATGGTTAGTGGCAGGGCTACTGCTAGGGATCCCTAGGCCACTTCCCCTCTCTGAGCTCAGTTTGCTCGGTTTTCAATTCTCTGCAACCCCAGGAATGACAACATTAACATTAACAGCCTTTACTAAACGCTCATATGCATCACTTCATTCACAACTATTTTTTTAGGTAGGTATCAGTATCCCTAGTTTTCAGATGAGTAAACCAAGACTCAGGTTAAATACCATACATCACAAGCCAAAAACTAATATTTGAACCCAGTTCTGTTGGTTGTTTACCTCTCATGTGATTATGGCTCCCAAAGAGAGCTGGTCTCTATCTCTGGCTTGCCCTCAGCCATGGACACACCAGACACCCCTCTGCAGAGACAGAGCTCTCCAACTTTCAACCTCAGGGCTCACCATCTCCAAAGCTTCCGGATTTGGCAAAGCTCTGGAAAGTAGCCCCCGCCTGTGATGTAAGTGTTACACTGCTGTTCCAGGGTGCGTGGCGAACATGGTGGCCCTTGACCACCTCCTCCAGGTCGGGGAATTTCTGGGCAAAGACCCCCTCCAGCTTGTGATCATAGACCAGAGGGAAGGCATAGGTCAGCTGCCTTCCTGGAAAACAAGGGGAGAAGGGAATGTGAGACCGTTCTGGGTTCTGGTTGAGGAATCCAGGACTCACCCTACCTCCCTGACTCCACTCACCAATCCTCTGGAACTGGGTGAGGGGAAAAGACACACAGAGCAGGGTCTGCCCGAAGGGTCTGGCATTGTAAGGCCAGCTGTATGCACCAGAAGCGGCAGGTGGAGGAAATCGAGGCACGCTGTGAACCAGCCAGAGGCCCCCTTCTTGGTCCAGGAGCAGGACGCCTGCACCAGAAGAGAGGATCGGGCGATTGCTCAATGCAGCCCAGCAAGCTCATCTGGCAACAAGGAACACCCTCAGTTTTCAGGGCGGCTTGGAGAAGGTGTGGGCAATGTCAGGACCACCGCTGGACTCAGTTTCCCCAGGCATACATTCTTATAGTCGAGAGTAATGCCAAGGTTAATATAAGAAGAGGAAACAGCAGATGCCCAGGGTTTGACAGGGCAGCCCTTCTGCCCCCCTGCCGGTCAGCGGTTAGCTTAGGAAAATATATACAGAAAACAGAGACCCTCTCCAGCACCCAATCCTGGGCTCACCCTTGGTGTGCCCACGGCTGGAAGAGTCCTGAGCCTTGCTGAATTTAGGCGGCTGGTCGTTATAGAGCAGGAAGGCGAGCTGGAGGAGATGGACGGGGTCAACGTGAAGGTTCTCCTGCAGGCGGGCCCACCCTAAGGTCCCACCCCAGGTTCTGCCGGCACCCCTCCACCTGACTGGCATTTCTCCGGTACAGCGGCAGCAAACTGCGGCCCACGGCCCCCGCCGAGCTGTTGATGAATCCCACGCCATCGCGCCAGCCCCCTGAGCCCTCGTCCATGTACTTATACTGCAGCCCACTCCGCGCCGCATCCCCGGACCCGCTGTGGGCCGGCAGCTTGTAGACCACGAACCTGGAGGTTGGGGATGCAGAGGAATGGGGGAGGGGAAGAGAAGGAACCCCAGGCTTCTCCGAAGAGCCCAGCAATCCCGGAGACCCCCCGGAGCCGTGTCCCCACCTGGCCTCGGGGGGGATGGTCAGCGCCCGCGCACTCACCAGTCCACAGGCTGCCCCGAGTCCCCATAGCAGGTCAGGGCCCCCGCAGGGACCCACAGCAGCGCGGCCAGCAGCAGCGGGCTCAGCGCGGCCATGTGATCGGGATCGAGAAATCTGTGTCAGGACCGCGGGGCGCAGGGTAGGTCACGAGCTTGGTGGGGCCGGGCGTCTGGCTACTCTCACTTCCCCAAACTCGCCTGGGAACCTGGGCTGGGACATCACGAGGGTGGAGACTCCGCCCCCGAGACAAGACGCAGCAATCCGGAGAGGCAGTCGCTGGGGCTTCCTCTCCCGCTGTCCCGCCCCCGGCCCCGCTCCCGCCTCCCCCGCTTCAGGATCAGGCACAAGTTTGGATTTTTTTCCTTTCTAGCCTCACAACCTCGGCCAACTCTTGTGATGTGACCTTTACTCTCTTAAGGGGCCCTTGTGCTCCGGATCCTCCCCTTTTTCATTCCGCACGTTATCCTGGAGCTCCCTTGCACTATCCAAGAGGTTACTTTGGATCATGGCCAGGCTGAGGGCTCTTAAATGAAGGCAGACTGTCGCTGTGAATGTCCCCTGTGTTCAAGGCAGGAGACAAAGACAGTGTAGCCTGATCTTGAGGGGGAGAAGATGAAGGGAGGCAAGGCCTGCAGTGCCTGAGGAGTGTCTTTGGAGGTGAGGGGGTGTCACTGAGGTTTAGGAGATGAGGGTGTGTATGGCCCCCCAATATCACCTCTGGGGTATGGCCTCCATCCATCTTCCAGCCCCCAAAGCCACAGAGTCAGGCCAACGCTGAAGCTTTATCTGGTAGGGGCATTTTCATAGGACCCATAACCATTCAGAGCTGATGCCAGCCTCACGGTGTGAAGCCCCCTTCTAGACCCAGGGTCTTTGGGAAGCCTCACCCCACACCCCGTCCCCCTGTCCAGGGCCGCCTGTGAGCTGGTCTGAGGTTCCAGCTCTCTGAGAGCCTGTCTCTCTGTCCCAGGTGTCTGAGTGTCTATCTGAGCCTGTTTATTTCGTGGTCTGTCTCGGTGCGTCTGTGTGACCGTTGGACGTCTCTGTGTGGCTCCCTGTGGCTGAGGACATGTGGGAGCTTCCATAGGAGGCTCCCCCAGGTCGGTCTATGGGTCAGTTCTTGATTTTTCAGTGGATACGTGGGCCGCGAGTCCGGACTAGGATCCGTCCTTGAGAAAACCACCCGGCATGGATCCACTCTTGCCCCATCCTCAGGCCCTGGAAGGGTCCAATTGCCGGGGCAGGGCTCAAAGGTGGCGTTTCATGTGCAAGGCCAGGTGGTCGGAGCGCGAAAAAGCGCGTGGGCAGAGCTGGCAGCGGAAGGGGCGCTGTCCCGTGTGCTTCCGGTAGTGGCGAGTGAGCTCATCCGAGCGCGCGAACCTCCAGCCACAGCCGTCCCACGTGCAGGCGTATGGCTTCTCCCCTGGGGGGGGGGGGGATGAGGAACCCGTAAACACCATTGTCCGCCCCACGCTATTCCGTGCCAGGGCCACCTGCATCTGGCCGCACCCTTTTGCTCAGCCTGGGCCGGTACTAGGGTGAGGCAAGGCAGGCACCTAGGGCGCAGACTTTAAGGAGACGCTCACTCTCAGGGGCCGGCCATATCTGCACCCAGGTCCTGCCCTCTGCGACCCTGCCCCTTCCTTCTTCCTTTGTACGGGCAGCTGGCACCACGTCCATTCTCATTTCCTGGGCCCAAGCCGGCCCCCTCCACCACTGGCCCCACTTCCTGTGCCCTGGTAGCCTGCCCCTGCGTCTTAATACCGTCCACCCCCGTCCTTTGGTCCTGCTCCCTGTGTTCCACGCCCTTCCTTGCACCAAGGTACCCTTCCAGCTGCTGCCCAACCTTGTCCTTGACCTTGGTCTCTGAGTCCCGAAATCCACTCTGGCGTTCCAGGCCCTGTCCTCAGTGATTATGCTCTCCTCCTGCCACTCTTGGCCCCTTTCCCCTGAGCCCGGGACAGGTCTGTACACCAGGCCCCACCCTCAGGACTCCTTAAACATAGGCCTCACCCCTCTTCTATTACACGGCCCCGACCCTGTCTTCCACTCATTGAGAACCGGCTTCTCCTTCCATACCCGCACTCCTGTTTCCCAGCACTTCCTCTGGCCGTCTTACACCTGCCTCTATATCTGGGCCCCTTCCCCTGTGAGCTGTCCCTGAAACTGTCTCTGCCCCAGTGTATCAGCTCCTAGGCCCACCCACGCCTCCTACACTTCTGGTTCCGCCTCCAGGCCAAGCAACTTGTCCACTCCCCGCAGCCCCACCCCCTACACCACCAGCCCTGCTTTCTGCTCCTCCGCCCGTACGTGGCTCAGATCTTACCCATCAATCCCCAGCATTGTAACGCTTCCCAGGTTTTCCAGGTCCTCTCTCTGCCCCCACCCGCCTTCTGCACCGCTGCCCTGTCCTCTGGCCTGCCCCTGCCCCTGAAGTTCCAGCCCGGCTCCCAGGGACCTCAGCCCCGCCCCTTGCTTCCGGACTCTGTCTTTAGCCGGGCCTCTGGCGTTACAGGCCCGCCCCTTGCGCTGGGTCTTTGCCTCTAGGCCCTCCCCTTGCCGTAGGTTTCCGCTCCCGGACCCCGCCTCCAGCACCGCCCCCGCACCTGGGCCCCGCCCCCTCACCCGTGTGCGTGCGCAGATGCGCCTTCAGGTGGGAGCTCTTCGTGTAGCTCTTGCCGCAGCCCGGGTATTCGCACGTGTGCGCCGCCTGCCTCTTGCGAGCCCACGAGCGCCGGTTGCGCTTGGTTGGAGCGGCCTCCGCGATCATTCCTGAGTCTCCTGCGGTCCCCCGGAGTCCCACGCCCACCGTCCCGGGTCCCAGACAGCTCAGGAAGGAGGGGGATACGACAGGGCCTGGCGCGGCCGCTGGGACCCCGCGCAAGACATGGAAGTGCCCTTGGTACTGAGGCGCCGGGTACAGCGCGGGGTACCCGGACAGCAGCCCGTAGGGGGCGCCCGGCGCCGCGGGCACTGAAAACCCGGTCCTCGGGAAGTAGCTACCCGAGGAGCCCGCGCCCGGCCCTGTGTACACCGGCTGCGGCGGCAGCGCCTTGGGCTCTGGGGCCAGGGCCAGGGCTGAGCCCACGAAGGCGTCGGGGGCCGGGATTTGTGGGGTGGGGCGCGCCCAGCCCGAGTGCTCATCAGGACCCAAGAGCCCAGCCAGCAGCCCCGGGCCTTCTGCGTACGCGCCCAGAGTCTCGGGCGGCGGCGGGTATTGCGTCCCGGGGCCCTCGTTGGGCGCCAGAGCGCAGGTCCGGGGCGTGCCAACCGGTTCTGGGCCCGGGAAATTGGTGAGGAGGAGATCCAGGTCCCAGGCGGAGGCCGCGTCCCTCTCATCGTCTTCGTGCTCCCCAGACGGGTTCTCCGACTCTGGCTTCACGTGAAGGGGCGGCCCTGTGGAGTCGGGTGGACCCGGGCCCATGTCCTGCGCCTCGTCGGAGCGCCACCACTGGGGAAAGGAGCGGGCAGCTTGAGGCTTCAGTGGACGCTGGGCTACTCTGCCCAGGGACAGCGCAGGCTGGATACCCTGATGGGGGTAGGGCTGGCCAGAGGCTTTGGAAAGGGGGCTTGTTTGCCTGTCTGTCAGTCTGTCCCACTGCTCCCCCAAACCCCCAGCTCCAGGGACATAGGTCTATCAGGTCTGGCTGGAGACAGGAGATAAGACTTCCATTATCTTGAACCACAGTCAGGGATGGGGGAAGGCGTGGCAAAGTCGGGGATAGAAGGCTGTTGGGGGTAGAACCAGCCTTGACTCAGTTTCCCCCAAGAACCTCCCTCTCTTTCTCCATCTCCTAACAAGATTAATTTCCAAGCCCTGGGTGTGCCCCAAACACATCTACCATTTCCTGCTGTCTGGGAGATTGTCTCTGAGCCTAGACTAATACTAGTATTAAGCTCAGAGCCTCAGTTTTCTATTACAGAAATAGGACTGACCCAGAACCTCAAATCCCTAGACCACCACCCCCCAGACTGAGCTCAGACCCCTGACCTGGACTTAGGATACCCCAGGCCTGGCCAGGACTCTCGATTCAGGCCTGACCTCCAGGATCCCAGCCAGCCCACCTAGATCCCAGTGGCCCCACCTTGAGGAAGTCTTCCTGTGTGTCCGGGAAGGGGCCCAGGGTAGTCAGTGTGCTGATGGAGGGCAAGGCGGTTTCGGCTGCGGCCATGGCTGGCTGGTGCCCACCCTGGGCCTCAGGCCTCCTCTCCCTTGACTGCCTCGTGGGCTCTGAGCCTCTGATGGCCCCTTAGAGGGCTCCTCTCTGCCTTCAGCTGATTGGCTGCAACTCCTGATAAGGGGCCGGCAAGGCGGGGGGGGGGGGGGGGG